TTATGCAGATTCACTGATACAAAGTCAGTGTCCTCATTTTAAAAAAAAAAACTTATGCTTGAAATGTGATTTGGTGTTTTTCCAGTAGGTGGCGTATTAGACTAGAGAACGTGATCAACATGTGAAGGCTGATCTTTTCTTTCTATTTTCAGAAATTTTTTATATAAAATACATATCACCTAATGGGCTCACTAATTCTTTTAATTGCACCAATATGGCAGGATTCCAACTTCACTTGACTGTAAGAGGCAGAAATATTTGACTGATTACATTAACATAATAACAGTGGCATAATGACAGTAGTACTGAATAGTTACAATAGCTTGCATTTTACAATTGCTTATCAACCCATATGTAAAGCTTCCCAGCACCTCTGAAAGGGAAAATCATGCACACATACAACAGTGAAAAATCTGTCTCCTAAATCCTTTATTTTGAGACCCCGATGACTTTTTGGAAAAGAGCAACCAACCCCAGTGAGCCCGCTATTGTTACAGGGTCTCAGAATTAAAAGTAGGAGGATCACACCTTGGGGGGAGCTCTCTCCCTCCTCCTGCCTTCTGTCCATCTCCGATGGGCTGCAGTGCGAGTGTCCTCATATGTCACCCAAGTAGGTGTTGCCCTGGAGCTGGGTCTTGGAAGATCTGCTCAAAGCCACAAGGGTCTAGAAAAACACTACTCAGGAGGTCCACAGCAGCAAATCACTCTCAGAGAAACTACTACCTGGTCCAGCCTCTTGTGTTACAAGCCTGAGGTTCAAGGTGGCTGTGTGACTTGTTCATGTCACAGCCGTGCAGCGGCACAAACAAGGTTGTTCTCGCCCCTGACACAGCCCTCCTCCCTTCTGTAGGAAATGCAGGAGCTACTGTAGCTTGCAAAAGTCCCCTAGCAAAGAGAAGACAGGAAGTCCTGCCTGCAAAGACCTCACTGTCCCCTGAAAGGCTCATGTGCTCCAAAACAGGGCTTTTGGGAGGGGCCCGAGTCATGAGAGCTCTACTTTCAGCAGTCCGCGGATGAGATCATGATCTGGTGTCACGATCGGAACTTAGGAAGCAGGGCCTAGTTCAAGAGAACGAGTAAGTCCGGCGGTATCACCGGGACTAGATCTGTTCCTTGCCCCTCCCATCCCTTCCTCCCTTGTGCTCTGCTTCCCAGCTGCCTTAGGGACCAGGAAAGGCTGCAGGAAATCTCAGGCCTTTGTGCGGAGTCCCAGAAGTCTGTCCCCATCAGAGAGGCAGGGCTACCGCCTTCGTCCCAGAAGAGGGCACCCCGCCCCTCCGTCAGTCTAGAAAGGTCCACACTGTCTAGGAATGTCTTCTCTGTTTCATCCCTGAAACATAAACAGCCAGATAAAAATCACTTTGAACTCTGCCAGTGCACACAGTGGCTTGAAAAGGGAAATTAATGGAAATTGCAAAATAATACCTGAGCAGACATTAAAGCTTTAAACCGAATATGTAAGACAGGAGCATCGGTCCGTTTTTAATGGCTTAATGGTAAATGTTGAGCCAATGAGCATCCCCTAAAGGTTGTCCTGGGGCACGTGGAGTCAAAGTCTTTAATTTTAATGAGGCTCTATCACAGCATGTCTTATCCTCGCCTCTTCACTGCCAGTGAAATGACCACCAGCTAAATGTACAGCAAAATAGCTCACTCAGACCCCAAAGAAATCACCTTGAAATTATGACACTTAACAGTGACAAATGTACCCAGGTTCATTTGGGAAGACGCCTGGCAGTATGAGCGAAACGACGGAAGTTGTCATTTCCTTGGGTTTTTCAGGCTGAGCTCTTCTTGCCTTATCTGATCTTGCCTTTCGTAAATGTTTAAAATGCAGGTGGTGCCCTTCCTTCCTAACCGCCATGAGCAGGCTAGTTCCCTTGAAGACACACTGTCAGCCCCCCACTGACCATTCTGTCCCTGTAGTCAGGCGCAGCGGGCTGAGAAGAACAACCCTGCCCTTTGTGATTTGGGATTTTTAAAAATAATACCAAAAGGAATAAAGACAATACCTATTTAATGTGTATTAAATAAAATAATGTGCGAAAATCCCCATGCAGAGCACAGTAAACAGCAGTTGCTCAATAGGTGCTCCCTCTTTCCCCCTTCACATAAAGCAACGGGGGCAGCCGCTTGCTCAGGGTATATGAGACCTGTGCTCAGAAAGGAGACAGAACCCACACAGGGGGCAAAACACAGGGTGCAGATATAAGAAGTAACTGTGATAAAGGCTACCTTTCAGGTATAGGGATGCCCCTACGCAGTCTCCTGCCAGCTTCCAGGGCTGAGGGCACATACCCCAGGCTGGACAAACTTGGAGGGTGTGAACTGTTGGGAAGCAAAACTGGACTCTCTTGGGGTCTTCCACTGGCTCTGAGGGTTAAGCTGATAAAGACAGACTAAAGGAAAAAAGCATAAGGGTTTTACACATTAAAGCTGTGATCAAATACATGACAAATGTTTAAAAGTTAAAGATCTGGTACAGTCAAAGACACATTGCCGTAATCCCCCTCATTCTTGCCACTTTCCACAGCAGTTCTGGAAGTCCTCCTTCGTGATGTCTTTTTGAGATGTGATCAAAAATATGGTCAGCGCTGCTGCGAGTACCATCCAACAGAAAGGCAGGGTTGTAAAAGCCGGACGCTGCGTCTGCATCCGCTTTACTCACCCCATCTGGCACCAGGTGACTTCTGGCTCTTCCCCAAAGTCAAAAGGACCATGAAGGGGAAATATTTTGACTCGATTCAGGACACTGAGGCAGCAACAATAGCACAACTAAAGACACTCACGAAAGAGGACCTCCAGAACTGCTTCAGAAAGTGGCCAGAACGATGGGATCAGCGTGTCCAACGTGAGCGGGAAGCATTTCGAGAGGGATTCATGTCCACATGTCTTTTACGATAATAATCTTTTTTTAAGATTCAAACTTTCGCCATATTTTCCTTAGCAGGAAGGTGAAAGTTCTAAAAGCAGTTAGGCCTCAATGCTTCTAATAGGTTGAACACAGTGGAACAATTGTGAGAAACTGGCGAAGATTATGGGGTGGGGGCCTAAAAGCAGCTGAAAGGGATTCTAAAGAGGTTTGTTAGTCAGGCTTCTCTCAGCCTTGCCTTGCATGTGGCCTTGGCAATGAAAGAATAAACACTAAGGGGCTGGGGACGTAGCTCAGAGGCACAGCGCCTGCCTGGCAAACGTAAGGTCATGAGTTCGATTCCTGATCCCGGACCAAAAAAAAAAAAAAAGAATAAACATTAAAAAATTACCATTCATTATCACCAGGAAATTTTTCCTGAAAATCTGTATTATTATCTTTCTATAATGAATATTTATTTTCGTAACCGTTTTCATGTTTTTTAACAAAATAGGTTAGATGCTAAGAAGTATTTGTGGAGATCGTCACCGTGAGGCATTGTAGGGCAGACCCTTGGCAGGGACTTTGACAATTAAGCAAATAAAGCTGCAGTTACCCATGTATGCCATCAGATGGCGCCAAAGCAGCCAGCGAATATTCACCAGACGCAAACAACATTCGCTCCAAAGGAATTTTATCAGATTTTTTAAATATTTAAGATTCTACGGCTGGAATAAGTGTCTTGTTAGTAATGCATTTGGCGTATAGAACATTTTTCAAAATGACAGTTTTTTTTCTCTGAACTTTTGCTGCAGTCCTACACCTGCACGAAAACTGACAGTACCGGTTCTGCAGGTCAAAACTCTCTAAAATCCCGGAGATGGGATGACTCAGGCATCTCACGCTGCCTGTTCAATGATCTCAGAGTTTCTACTAAGCGGCTTCCCAAGTCAGCTGTACATATTCGTCAAGCACAAACGGTCATTCTCCAAAGACGCTGGTTCTCGGGGTGGTGGGAGACTGGCTCATCCCCTGCACTTTGTCCTTGACGCACTCGCCTGCCGCCCAGGGCACAGCTGGTCCTCCACCTTTGCCACGGAGGGGTTTTGCCTCCTGAGTCCCAGTCTCCAGGACTGGAGCGTAGCAGTTTGGGGACTGTGCGACCACCTTCAACAAGTGGCTGCTTTCTGCGGCTCCTTTTTTTTTTTTTTTTTTTTTTTTTTTTCTCCGGT